TTAAAAGATTCTTTCCGTAAACGATTCAAATATATACATATACACACACACACACACACACATATATATATATGATTAATTCGACGCTCTCTTGGGATTCATCGATCGCAAACGTTTCGCGTTAATAAGAGTCCTTAAGAAAAAAATGTATAAATAAAAGATGATACGTCGAGTATTATCGAATTTTTTTCTTTTTTTTTTTTTTTTTTAAGGAAAAATTCATGAAAGTTCGAGGATAAAAAAGAGAATGATAGAGGAAAGAAATATAATATTCGTAAAAAAAAGATAGTTCATTAATGGGACGCATCGGAAAGATGAAGAAAAACGAAGAAACGAAGGGATCATTTTTTCAAGCCACCTGCCGTCGTTGATGGCAAGTTGGACCAACCCTCGCGCCTTGTCGTCAGTCCTCGAACGATGACAAACGACAACGACGATGCGTGGGGTATGCACCTAATAGGGAACATGTGAAAAACAAGATGATTTTTTTAAGATTTCTTTTTTCCCTTTGCTCCCAATTTTCTATTTTTTCCCGTCTTTTTTCGATTTTCAACTTCGTATTTTGAAAAAAGAAAAAAGAAGAAAAAAAAGAAGAGGAAAGCAAAAAATCATTCTCGCAAGTGTCGCAAAATCGACCGAAAAGTTTTCTCTAAAAATCTGACGATTCAGCGATCGAATATGCCGATCGGGACCATGCATCTCGTCTTCCGTGATCGAACGTAGACACACGTCACAGTTCGAGAATAGTCGATTTCACTGTTTTGCAATGCATCGCGTAATGCATTTCGTACCGAGCAAGCGATTTTCGATACAACGAAGAATTTGAATCTCGTTTTGAAAGTCGATTTGGATTTTAAATGCGTGAAAAGAAATCATTCTTCTACCTTGTTCTTCCATCCTATGTCCTGTCGCTCTTCGGTTCTTTTATTTTATTTTTTTTTCTTTTTTTTTTTTTCCCTTTTCTCCTTTGTTATCCGCTGTCCATCGATCGGACCAGTTGGTCTGGTCGATCTAAAAATTCGATCGATTTTTGAGCATGAGCCGTGAGCAAACATCGCAGATATCCTAATAAAATATTAAATCTTTTCTCTCGTAATCTTATTTCTCTTGAAATACATCGTGTCGCGACGAAGTTCAGTCGTTTCGAAGACCTTGAAATTTTGGCCAAAGATAATTTTATCGAATCTTTTTTTTCTTCATACATATGTATATATATACATATATATATATATATATATATATATATATATATATATATATATATATATTAT